TTCTGACAGCTCTAGAACAGGTTTTCCAGCACCCGTTTCTTGAGTAAGTGCAGCCATGCCGCACTCAAGAAAAAGTGCAAGTCTAGAGTAGTGCAGCGAGACCCTATATGTGTGTGTGTGTGTGTGTGTGTGTGTGTGTGTGTGTGTGTGTGTGCGCGCGCGTGCGTGCAGAAATGGCCCACCACCAACAGAAGAAACCAAAACAGAAACGATTGCTACGTCCCACCAAAGATGGCAAGATACATTTGTTTCTTTTCGTAGAAATGAATGCATCTTGTCATCTTCTGACGGAAGATACACTCCTTTGTACTTTGTGTGATGTGCTGTTCGATGAGGGCCTGACGGCGCCTATTTGCTGACAGTATCTGGCTGGAAAAGCACCTTACATACATCCGACCACAAGATGCCCTTAACAACAAATACAAACGGCCGAATTTGGATGTATCTGTAAGATTCTGTATCTTGTTTCTGACAGATTCTGACCACGATGACGGATAGAGGTAAGTTGAAATAGATGTCCGTTGATGAGGGGGGCGTTGTCGCTCGATGTATGGAGGTTGCTTTCGAAGTCAAATACATTCACTATGAGTCACCACATGCACAAAAGACAAAAATTATGGCTGTAAGATTCTGTATTCTTGTTTCTGACAGATTCTGACCACGATTACGGACAGAGGTAAGTCAAAATAGCCCAGTGTTATGGCCGTTGATGAGGGGGACGTTGTCGCTGGATATATGGAGGTTGCTTTCGAAGTCAGATACATTCACAATGAGGCCTGACTCCACTGCTCACCACATGCACAAAAGACAAAAAATATGGCGGTGTATCTTTCCATGTTCTAATGGAAGATTCATTCTCATTTTGCACATTTGGTCAGTAGTGGAGTGAGGTCCACACTCTTTTTTTGGACAGCTGCGGTCACCGACGTTCTGTCAAAGAATCTGGGAATGGTGGAAAGACTTCTGGAAAAATACACAGGTGGAGTTTCCTTGGGACGACGAATTCATCCTATTTGGAAAATTCCCAAAAAAGGCAGGGCGGCCTCGGGTGGAAATTATTTAGCCTTTTGTTACAGAGGAATCATTATAGAAACAATCTGGGCAGAACGGAATGCTAAAGTGTCTAGGAATGATGTAATCTCTTTCCAACAATCAAGGCATCAGATCAAAGTTGGCATCAGGCTAGCATTGTGTGCAGATTGGAAAAGGAAGGGCTTCTATCGGTTTGGAAAGACATGGAGTAAGGGTAACTTGGCTAGGATTACTTCTGAAGGAAAAATGGAGGTTGCCCATTGCTTGAGGTAGAGCCTTTGGGCGCGTCTAATCCTCCTGGGTGAGGTTATTTGGGTAGTGATAGGGTCGCTTTAGACCTGATGGTTTTGCAGTATTTTAAGAATAGGGACAGGAAATTCAACAGTTAAGTTTTGATGGGCAGGGTCACTGTAGACCCGTTCTGGTTGGTCATTTCAGATGGGAGGGTAGCCTGTTTCTGTAGGAAAGAATTGAGCTCAATGCTTCCTTTTACATGCGCTTCGAGGTTATTTTTTGAAGAACTGTTGACAGTTGGATAGATAGAGAGGGCGGATGAGATTTTGGGACACTGGGCCCGGTTTCCAGCACAAGCCTATTCTGGGTAATGACCCCAGACTCTGTTCCTCTGTTTCCGGGTTGTTTGTGAGGATTCCCGGCCTCAGCTTCCAATGGTAATATAACGTTGCTTCTTCAAAGAAAGAAAAAAACAAAGGCTGTCAGAGCTGGCGTTTTCTATTCCTTAGAAATAAAGATGACAAAAGAGCCGTTAGAGAGAGCAGGACGGCCCCTCATCATGACTGTAGTGGACCTGGAAGAGCCTTCCATACATACGAGAACACACATTAGAGGGCCACTGTTGCTGAAAGTTCTGAGGGCCGTTGCCACAACTTTTTTTTCGGGCTTGGGTGTGGCCTCAAAAACAAATTGCCCACGCCTGTTTAGAATTTCTCCGGTGCAGGGGCGACAGGTGGTAGCGTCCCCCGCCACTTTTTTTTTTTTGTTTTGGGAACCCCTGCTTTTTGGCCATGTGGTGCATGCTGTGCGCGCCATGTGCGCAATGCACAATGCGCCGCACGTGCGCGACTGGCCCGCATGCAATGCACCGCAACTACGTCTTGAAGTTATAAAAGGGACTTCGACTACAAAACCAAATCCCACCGTGGGAGAAGTTCCCCAAGACTGAAGGGGGAGCTTGGGGAAGCCCACCGCTTTGAACTAAGCCAACACGTCTCGTATCGGGTTCTGCAATGAGAAACCCTCACTTCAAGCCGAAGAGTTGTCAGAGTCTCGAAAAGTCCTAAAATCTATGCATCGCTGCACTAGCTCTAGACTCTAGAAAAGCTAGACCTAGAGTTGCTCTGCCACTTTATGAGTTGGACCATTTCACTACAGGACAGCGCCAGCCTGGGTTGTCCGTCCAGCCTCAAGGCCCACTCAAGGAAACCAAGGCGTTTCAATGGTCCTTCAAAACTCCCTTAAAAAAACTGCCTTTGCAGGCTGGTGCTCAATCTAGAGTGAGAAGGACCGACCCGCTCTGACAGCTCAAGAAATGAAAAATCTAGAGCGAACTTGTCGAGTAAGTGGAGCGATGACGACTCTATTACTTTTGTAGAGTCGTTCTGACAGCTCTAGAACAGGTTTTCGAGCGCCCATTTCTTGAGTAAGTGCAGCCATGCCGCACTCAAGAAAAAGCTTGAATCTAGAGTAGTGCAGCAAGCCCCTAAGTCTTGAGCCCCCAAATCCCAGTTTTCCTGTTGCCAAAAATAAACAAACATGGATAAATCGAGAAATTTTCTAAATGAAAGGAAAAAAAAAAAAGACTCAGCTCTGCACGACAATAATGGCCTTTGGACTTAAACAACCAGTACCTCACCCATCAAAAAACAAAATTGCGGCCATCCCAAAGGCCAAATGGTCCTTTTTTCCAATCTCACGTTTTTTTTCGGATATCTATGTATTCTTTTGTATTTTCAATGGGACGCTGGACCTGATTTCCAGCAGGTGAAGCTCCCCACCAATAGATGGAGCATTTTCTCTGAAAAAAAAAAAAAAAAAAAAAAGCACTGCGACTTTCGGGGGTCATGGAAACTAATGCCCGGTCGCTGCAAATTTGGGTGTACAGTGGAAAAAAAAAGAAGAAAAAAGAAACTGCAAGAAACATGAGTATGGACGAAGCACAGAAATCCAGAATGCAAAATCACACTGAAGTCCAAGTAGTCAAAGCCAAAGCAGATAGCACATGGAACCGAGTAACCATCCAATTGAGAATGATACAAAAGAATC